TGTCTTGGCCACAAAGGAAACCACACACAGCACTCCCTTTTTGTCTGACTTGCTCTATTCTGCTAGCGGCTGTGCAAGACTCTGCTTTCATAATTGCTTGCAGCACTGGACAGTCTTCTGGGGGGTGGGGGAGCTTTGCCATGACTTCACCCCAGCGTAATCTCTTCTGATGGCGAAGCTCTTAAGTATTCCCAACTTCCTTCTTGGACAGTGCTCTTGATCTGCTTCCCTGCCTCCAGTGGTTTCAGGCTAAAACTAACCCCTCGTTATTTACCAGGATTAGTTTTCTAGGGAAGGCTGTTTGCGTGACATGAAAGACGTCAGCAAATAGGGCCGTTGCCAGCCAAGCAGCTCTACTGTATATCTGTGGAGCCCCCCTTCTAGCTCCCTCCCCGCTTGCAGGCACTCAAACCAGAGAGCCACTAGAGCTGCAGCTTAGCCCGAGTGCCTCTGGTAAAGGGAAAGCGCAGGCCCACGGCTGCTAATCGGCTTTGCTGCCTTCTAGCCTTCCCCTTGCTCCTTGCCAGTGCTCTTTGGCCTTAAAGCTGAGCAAAGGTGGTTAACGTGGCTGACATCTCTGTCCTGAGAAATCTGACTCGGCTTCCCACAAATATGCACCTGGCTCCTAGGTGAGTTCTCAAGACTGCAGCCTTGGGCAGGAGAGAGACTTTCCTGTGCTGGCTTGTTTTTCCAGAGGGAAATGTTCTCAGACTTGGCTTGTTGGTTTACGAATCCAGGTTTTTCCATAATGGCTGATTCTCTTTATTTCTGCTAGACTCATGGTGAAGACCAGGGGCCTCACATTCTGACACTGCAAGGCGTAGGCCTGCCTGTAAGATTTAATCTCTGGAGGAAGCCCATGCATAAGGAACACACAACCCCCAGCACGCCTTGATCCAACTGAGCCTGGTCTCTGCGTCTATTGGGGTAGCACCCACTGCAATTGCCCAACTTTTCAGGCGTGTCCACACCATCCTAGATAGGACCCTCTGCAGGGTGACTTGCCCCCATGCAGGATGGTCCTTCTCAGAGAGGTGCCAGAAAATGGCCCACTGCCTTCTGTTCCAGTATCAGGCCAAGTTACCTCTGGCCTGGGGCAAAATGTGTGAGGGGGCATCCTGGCAGCCACTGGAAGCTGAGAAAACAGGCTGCTCACTGGCTTTGCAAGCACTAATCTTCTTAAAGGCAGAGGCATGCACAAGGGCATCATCTCCTCGGGCTCACCGTACCTTGCGTAATGCTATGCAAACTGGCAACAGGTGCCCTGGAGGTCTCCAGTACATGAAAACGGGCCACACTCCCCCAGAAAGCAGCAAACCCCAATCTCCACCCACTAGATGCTCCTACTGGCGGCGCAAGCAGGAGCTTGGCAGAGCCTTGGCAAACTGTTGGTCGCGAGAAGCGAGAAGCAACTGAAGAACGAGTCAGCAACCCTCCCCACCCTTGGAGACAGGTTTTGGGGAGGGGGTGGCTGATGCTGGGCTGCGCCTCTCCCTCCCCAGGGTGATGACAGCAGCCTGGGTCTTAGCAAGGGCACTTTATTGTTCATACACTGGGGGGCAGGAATGCTGCCAGCTTTGCTCCAAGAGGGCAGCAGCATGACCGCTAAAGATTAAGCCAGAAAGGGTGGGGTGACCATTCCTGAGCAAGGGAAGGTGGCCGGCAGTCTCCTGTCCAGGCGAGTCGGGGGGAGAGGCCTTCTTCCTGATGTCCACTGGGGTGGGGGCAAGAGCCCTGCAGCACTCAAGGAACTAAAAGTCCTGTGGGGAAGGGGCAGGGCTCCCCTTAGCCATGCTCCTGGGGCGCAGCCTGGCTCCTCTCCTCAGGCCTCACTTCGTGGGCCCCAGGAAGGGGCGGGCAGGCAGGGCTCGGGCTTGAGTGTCGCAGCTTCCACATGAATGGGAATGCCCTGCCAGGAGGCAAAACAAAGATCCGGTCAGCAGCTGATCTTGACTCCCGCTCTGGAAGACACTCCTCCAAGGCTGCCCCACGCACCGCTTCTTGGTCTCTGGAGGCACCAGGGCCTCGGCAAGCAGCTTCTTGTAAAAGTCAGACTTCAAAAAGCGTGGGTAGGAATCCTAGTGGCAGAGAAGGGGGAGTTCAGAGAGAGACCCTCCAGCCCAAGAGCAGCAGACTCAATGCCCACGCCACCAGACTGCGACTGCTGGTCCAGTCACAGTCATGCCCTGAGATGTGCGGCAGCGGCGGCAGCAGCAGCGCCATCGAGTCAAAGCATTGCCTCCCTCCCGCCTGTCTGACAGCTCCGGGACCTTTTTCATCAGTGTGTAGATGTGCATCTGGGCATTGTCCATTGTGTAGCGGTGGGGGGTCTCGATGCCCTTCAGGGTGTGCTCCATAGTCTTGCTATCAAGGTTCACCCAGCAGGTGGCACTGGGCACCAGAAACTGCCTGGGAGAACAGCAGTTGAGTGAGCAGGCAGGTTGGAAAGCAGAGCCCCAGCAAGCTCTAGGGGCCGGATGAAGGCGAGAGAAGGTATAAAATAGGACAGGCTGCTGGGACACGCAACTGAAACACGCACGCGCCCTAAGAAGCAAGGCGGCCCACCACGGTCCCTGCCCAGGGGAGAGCACCACCTACTGATAGATGGAGTCCACAGCATCTGCAATGTGGGCCGCTTCCCCATGGCGTAATTCTTCACAAGCCTCCCAAAACATAAGGTTCTCGGCTGTGGTGAGAGAGAAGACAGACCCCCGGCTGACTCAGCAGGAGGCAGGACGGGGCCTGGCTAGCTTCCCCCAGGCGTGACGGGCCCCTACTCGCTGCTGCTCCTTTCTCCCTCCTCAGGCCACGCAGGACAAGTGCTCACCACTGAACTCTTTTTTGAGGAATTCCAGGAGTTGCTCTCGGCCCAAGACATCACCCATCAGCTCACTGAAGCTGAAGCTCCAGCGCTCCACCCGCAGCTTGGTGGGAACTGTGACCCTGCAAGGCAAAGGTCTCAGGCAGAACTGGTGTGCAATTTGGGGGTATCTGTGGCGCCCTCGGGGTTCTCTGAGCTTGGTTCTTTTCTTGCAAACGTTTCATTACCTGGCTAGGTAACATCTTCAGTGCTACAAAGGGCTGGGGTTTGCTCTCTATTTATCTGCTGTGGCCTGCCTTGAAGACGTGACCTAGCCAGGTAACGGAACGTTTGCAAGAAAAGAACCAACCTCAGAGAACCCCGAGGGCGCCACAGTTCAACCCTGAGCTACACATATTCAGGGGTATCTGTACCTGAGGGTATCTGCCCGTCCCACTAGGTCAGATAGAGTGGCACACTCTAGGCCCCTTCCCTCAAACGTTACCATGTATTTGGACCTAGGAAGTGTGCCTTTCCCATAGTGGGCCCTGCCCTGTGGAACACCCTCCCCCTCGGGATCCAGCAGCCCCTCCTAGCTTTCCAGAAAGCTGTTAAGAGCTGGCTCTTCCCCCAGGCCCTGGGATAGCAAGGTCGGAGCCCAGGCGACTCTATAGCTGGATGGATGTTGTTGGGCTGGGCACGAGGCTTTTCCTGCTTGTTTGCTGGAATGTTTTTATTGTTGTTAGCTGCCCAAAGCTGTGTCTCACAAGATGGGTGGCCATATCAATCTGATTGATACATACATACATACATACATACATACATACGGAGGACTGAGCACCAATGGCAAGGACACCCTACTTGGGAAAGCTGGGCATGACAGTCTCCTACCGGGGGGCGTTCATTGCCCAGTATGTGATGTCATCAGTGATCCAGGGATTGCTCGGAAGGCAGCCAGACATGATGGGGTCATGGGACAGATACTGCTCATTGAACTTGAGGTATCTGCAAAAACAGTGAAGGTGGGGAGGGGGCAGAAAAGCCCCTTCTCACTGCCCAAGCTGACTAGCATGCAAATAGCAGCCGAGCTGCCCAGCAAGGGTTCGGTTAGGACCTCAGAAAGAAGCGCAGTCCAAGCCTGGGGCTTAGTTTGGTCTTCTTAAACGTCATAGGTCACCCAGGAGAGAGAGGTTCCTGAACCCCAGGAGGGGAGCCCAGCAGCTGTGGGTAAAGCTCTGAGAAAGAGCCCAAAATCAGCTGTCTCAGGTTCTCCACTCACCCTTGCAGGCAAAGGGAAGACTTGATGCGCGTCCTACCCATGGCAGTGTGGCAATAACGGATCTGCAACCAAGTACAGAGAAATGCCAAAGAACTTGTGCCACCAACTGTCACCTTCCATCGCCACATCTGGGTGGGAAGGAGCCCTAAAGATAACTGGTTTGATGTGGTTTTTTTCAAATGCTTGAAATACCCATTCTTGCCTGTTCTTTCCGCCTCCTTTTCCCCCTTCTCCTGTGCAGAGGGAGGCCAGACCTCCCTTGTTCCCATGCCCCAGCAGGAGCCCTCTGAGCTTGGACTCCCATCAGCCTGCTGGGCTTATAACCTCCCCCAGCAGCCTTTCACTCGCTGCCACACACACACACACACTCACCTCCTGTTTGTAGTAGTCCACATTCTTCTACAGACAGAAGGAGGAAAGAGCAAAGCTCAGAAGCCACACCAGCTGCTCCCTTAGAGCAAACCATGTTGCTTGTCCATCACTTGCACTGACTCAGCCCCCCTGTTTGTTTGCTTTTCACTGAATCTGGCTGCCAGTCTTCTCTGCTACTGCTAAATGATAGTTTGGAAACCTCTTGAGTCTCCCTTGCCAGCACAGATACTTGGCTTTGCCAGGGTCCCCACCCCCGCCACACTTTCCTGCCTTTCTCCCTAACCCCCTTTTTGCAGGTTGGTACTGAGAGTTAGTGATTCAGTGGGGAGGAAGAAGCCCAAGCAGCCAGCGAAAGAGAGCGTGGACCTTGGTAGTCAAGAGGGAGATTCAGGTGCCAGGAGATGGACCAGAGAAAGAAGGAACCACAAGCCAACCCCACAGAGGAGGAGCAAGGCCCGCTGTGCCAGAAGAGTACCCTGGGGGGGGGGAGCCCTAGCCTGGGGCGGTGCCTTGCCCCCACCATACCTTTGGCCCAGACACTGAATGGGCAGAGGGCAGCCAGAATTAAGGACACAACCGCATCACACCTTCCCAAAGGGGAGCCTACCAAGGAAGCAGACCACAGGCCATGGTGTCTTTCTCCCCTCCTTTCCCAGGAGGCACGAAAGGCCTGCTCAGCTGCTCACCAGCTGCCCCAGCGAGGGAGCCCTTCAGCACACGCATGCATGCACACGCGCACACACACACACACTTACCAGATGTATAGGGGTGACAGAGTGGCTCCTTAGTCCTGGCCGCTGATCCCTCACATTCAGAACTCCACCCTGCAGGTGAAGCAGGACAGAGGCTGGCTGGCTGGCTTGCCATTTTCTTGCCCAGGGAACCCTTCTCAGGGGCACTCCGATCTGCTATTCTGCAGCTAACTCCCAGGGCGAGATTGGGAAGAGCAGAAAGGTTGCCCCTGAACCTGAACAGGGACAGGAGCTACAGCAGCAGCCATGCGGCAAGGAGCATTTTGATCCCTGACCTTACGGTGGAGCAGTGCAGAGTTATGCAAATGCCTAATATTCACCCCTTTGTAACGAAGTACAGAGCTTCCTACAAGCCCTGTTCTACAGTCAGGCTGGAAGCAAAGGCAGCGTGTGTCCATGAAATACAAAGGGGAGCTTTACAGGCAATGGAAAAACTCCTGAAAGAGGAGTGGGGAGGTCTATCAATGGGCCATGGAAGCCACATTTTCAGAGCCAGTTTACCTGTGACTAAAAACACAGAGGAATCTTCAGCAGTTGAGAGGTAACACACAAGTATTTGGCTGCCATTGCTGGACTCAAGAGCCTCATGGCCCAGATTTACAAGCGCAAAGAGACCAAAGAAGGCCAGAGTACAAGTCCTGGGTGGTCTTCCCCCGCCCACTGGGTCAGGACCAAGGTGGCAGGTGGCGGTTGCTGTCTTTCACACAAGGGCACCTACACCTTATCTCCTCCCACTCACCAAGGGCCTGTTGACAAGCCAGTAGGCCTGTTCTTGGCACTCAACGACAATCCTGTCCCCCTTTCTCCGCTGCTTAGCTGCACTGCGGAAAGGGCAAAGAGTTGCATCAGAGCTCCTGCCGCCCTGCTCCCCAGCCCCAAAGGTCCAGACCTTCTTCTGCAAGCTCACCGGAGCTGCTCCCGCGCCTGCATCACCACGAAGTCCCAAATATGATTGATCCTCTTGCACAGCTGGTTATAATCCTCCTACAGAAGATGCTCCATCCCATCAGCGCTCTCCTCACAGCTCTCGAAAGAAAGGGGAGGACAGGGGACCCATGCCCACGAGGGAAGCGCTGGGTTGGCTGCCTGGGGATGTCCCATCCTCCAACCCACAGTTGCACCCACTAATCCTCCTGGACTAGCCCTAGGTCCCAAGCACCCTTACCTTCTCAGGCTCACTGAGTTCACCCTGCTTGCAGATATTCCTCTTTGCCAAATAGATGGCTGAAATGGGAAACCATGACCTCAGGCCGGCTGTAGCCAAAGGGGTGCCCAAAGACTCCCCCGGTTAGGAAAAGAAATCCCCGCTGTCCTACTCACCGTAATCAAGGTCGGTGGGCAGCCACTTGGTGCTCATCCAGAAATATGGGGTCTGCAGGCCATAGAGGAAGAGGCTTGGTTCAGCTGCCCTGGGGCAGGAAGGGGCTTCTCTGCTTGGGAGAGTCAGCCAAGCCCTTTTCAGTAGCTCCTCCAAGGCCTTTGGAGGCTAAGAGGAAAGGGCCTTCCAAGCCATCTACCCACCTGTCAGCTTTAGTGAGGTAGCTGAGTGGTCAGCTGGTTCCATGCCAGGTCTCAAAGGGGTCCTGATTCACCCTAACCTACCTGGAACCTGTAGGGAGTCTCATTCCCCCGCAAGACCAGGGTGTGAGGGTCCTTCAGAGAATAGATGTAGCCGTGCTTCACAAGCAGGTTGCCCAGATGCAAGGATTCTAAGGAGAGGAAAAGGGGTGGGGGGGATGCTGGCTGAGCAGTTGCAGGGGAGGGGGGCTGGCACAGCCTTCCCGGGCAGCTGAGGCTCCCACGGAGAAAAACCACCCTCCTCCCTGGGCTGGGTCGAGTGCCTGTCTGCCCCCAGCTGAGCCCTCCCCCCGCCCAGCTCCAGCATGGGAGAGCCCGCAGGCTCCACCAAGTCCGGGCCGGCCAGCTCACC